ATTAATATGTTCTGTTTTTCATTTACAATAAAACTGGCGAAATTTATATCTACTGAGTAATCCACTATTTTGAAGAGGGCGGGGGGGCAGGCAGCATCATTATAAAGATGGCAGCATCATTATATTATTTTTACACAGAGATTGGTATATCTATTGGTAAAATCTGTTGACTTGAATTTTTCAAGTTTTTTCTCCAAAGTTTGCATGCCTGTAACTCAAGAAGTATTAAAGATATCTTAATGCCCTTTTAGATTTTGGGTCTAGTGGTTAGGATTGGGCGCACTCACCGCCACGGCCCAGATTAAATTCCCAGTCAGGCAATGACCGTTTCTGGGCAGTCGTGGCCTAATGGTTAGAGAGTAGGACTTGTAACCCAAAGGTCGCAGGTTTGAGTCTCTGTACCTTACCTACCTAAGCGCTGTTGGATTGTAGGTGAATAACCAGCGCTCTCTTCCACCTTCAATTGAGGTGAGACCCTTGAGCAAGGCACCGAACCTTCAACTGCTCCCTGGGTGCCACAGCAATATGGCTGCCCACTGCGCTGGGTGTGTGTGCATGTTTGTTCACTATTCACTGCTGTGTGTGTGCACTTGGATGGGGGAATGCAGAGCTCAGAATCAGAAAGAGCTTTATTGCCAAGTGTGCTTACCAAGCGGCAACCTCCCGCTCTCTCTCTCTCGTGAAGCCAACACGAAAATGTCCATGTTTTTATACAGTCTATGGTGCTTACAACACAAGGAATTTGTCTTGGTGACAGGAGCTTCCAGTGCACAGACAGGTTGACAAGTGACAAGACACAGATAACAAAATAAAAAGAAGTGAGTAAAAATAAATATGTAAAAACAATACACAATACAAAAAGACAGTAGACAGTATATTGTATGTTCAGATGTGCTATATACAAATAATGCAAGGGAATGTGGATAGATGTAAGATATATTCAATTAATAACATACGTATAATAAATATAAGTGTAGATAGTTGGGTATTGCACAGTGGGGAGAACATTTAACTGTTCATGAGATGGATTGCCTGAGGGATTTCCGAGTAGCCTATGGGACACAATACTTGGCTACACATCCTTTCCTTTCCTTAAATGTATCTGAATATCTGTTTTAAAATTGCAAAACCAACTTTATTAACATATTTACACAGTAAACCCATGTAAAGCAATATATAGCAAATTTCTACTCCTTGATAGTTTATCCTTGCAAAATGTAAACTATATTGTACAGCTCTCTATGTAAAGTTGGATATATAAGTATAAGGGCAAAGAGTATACTCACTTAAAGTGAAATAGGCTACTATAAAGCAAATTTCAGCAGCTTGTGACTTGACCATATCTGTCAAACCACACTAAAATGTAATTTGTGACTTAGTGGTATCAATGTGGTGTAAATGAAAAACTAGAATACATCTACTGTTGTAATGGTCTGTTTTGAAGTAGTCAGCGCCACAATGCTGGGGTGTTGCTAAGGTTTTCTGAGGGACATTTAGCATGTTGCTATGCCATTGCTAAGGGGTTCTGACAGGTTACAAGTTAAAATAAATAAATAAAT